CAGAGCCCCACACCAGCTCTGTCCTAAATCCCCAAACCCTACCCCAGCACGTGGTTGTTCCCCCTCAATCCCCCTTCTCCAAATGCCCAAATCCATGGATGGCGAGAGCACCGAGAATGGCCGCGAGATCTTGTCGTATCATTAATGATGATTCATCATGCGATCTCCAATACATTCTTGTTTGGTTTAATGGAGCCATTTTGTCAAATCGCCATGACATTCATAATTAAATAGAATAACCAACTAAAGCTGAGAGAACCGCTGCAAACCTAGTGTCATTTGGGTCTCTCCTGACCTAGATGTCATGGGTCATGTGTATTATTTGGCCAAGATTCCAAATACCACTACCTAATTTACTCTTGTTTGAAATTTAGAAACTAAAACTTAATATCTCTCACCCTCAACCTGAAGCCTTGATAAATGTGTTTGTGATGCACATGGTTCTTTTACCAAAAGTAATTAATTTACATGGAACTGGCGACACCTTCTGCAATGAGGTTATACAGAAATAAGAAATATTGAACACCAACATTGTGATTTGATTTTCCTTTTGTTGGATCAGTCATTGGTGTCCTCATGTTAAAAGACTAAGGACTCCACTATTCATTCCTGATTAGATGTGTCACTGTTCTCATGTTAGAAAATAAGTACTTTGTTATTTGATCTTCACTGTCATTGATCTCCTGATTGCAGGAATCCAAGGAGTTGTTATTAGCACCTTACAGAGGGAGGGATGATTTCTTGTCATGAATGGTCACGCTTTGAATTAACATTTCTAGAATTGTTCATGTGGTGCTTTCATTGGTCTTTTTTTCACTAGAAAAACTACTTTGTTCTTTGCAGGTACCGAATCATGAAGATTGCAATGTCTCAAAACTTTAGAATTAATCTGCTTGTATTTTTTAACTCTGACATTTGATATTTTATTTTGCCATGCTTCTTCAGAAGTTCAAAATTGTTATTTGTCTTAAGCTATTAAAACTTTGAAAGGAGATAGCATGCTATGTATTCCAAGTTAGGGGGTGCTTATCCCCGAACGGGACTAAGCTAAGTCTCTGGGATGATGTTTTTTATCTCGGTTGCGCCGGCCTTTGCCCAAAGGCGCGCCTCGTCTTTGATGACGTTGGAGAGACGGGAAGGTCGATCGCCATCAAAGATGCATGCATTCCGCTGCTTCCAAAGCCACCAAGCGGTGAGGATGATGAGGGAAGTCAGTCCCTTGCGAGTAGAAGCGGGTGCTTGGGAGTAGGATTTAGCCTACCATCATCTGGAAAGCCGTGTCTGAAGGAAATATGCCTAGAGGCAATAATAAAGTTATTATTTTATATTTCCTTATTCATGATAAAGGTTTATTATTCATGCTAGAATTGTATTGATTAGAAACTTGTGTCTGAAGGAAATATGCCTAGAGGCAATAATAAAGTTATTATTTTATATTTCCTTATTCATGATAAAGGTTTATTATTCATGCTAGAATTGTATTGATTAGAAACTTATATACATGTGTGAATACATAAACAAAAACCGTGTCCCTGGTAAGCCTCTAATAGACTAGCTCGTTGGTAAAAAATGGTTAAGGTTTACTGACCATAGACATGTGTTGTCATTTGATAACGGGATCACATCATTAGGAGAATGATGTGATGGACAAGACCCATCCATTAGCTTAGCATATGATCGTCCAGTTTATTGTTATTGCTTTCTTAATGTTAAATACATATTCCATCGACTATGAGATTATGCAACTCCCGGATACCGGAGGAATACCTTGTGTGCTATCAAAAGTCACAACGTATCTGGGTGATCATAAAGATGATACCTTGTGTGCTACAAGAAATATGTCAACTTGTGACCTTCTGTTAGTGACCCTGAAAGAATTGGTCATAAATCTACGACCATTTGAGACCGATTGGTCAAAAGCTGTTCGAGGGGCTCCAAACCCTAAACCATTGCGACCATTTTGGTCAGAAAGGTCGTAATTTCCTTACACGAAATGGTCATAAAGCAAACAGCGCTGGTCCGCTGCCTTATTTCTAGCTGATAACGACCAATATAGATGGTCATAGCCCTGTAAATTGTGGTGGGTTGCGATGATTAGGCGCCACCTCATCAATTTTGCCTATGTGTCATGTCCATGTGTCAAATTTTTCCCTAGGTTGTGAGGCAACCTATATTTCTGTTATTCTCAAATTCCAAAAAAATCTCATAAATTCTTTGGATCATATCTTCATCAATTATGTCAAAAACCTTCCTTGCCTAGTTCAAAAATAATTCAACAATATTCATTTTCCTATTCTGTTCAAAACATCACTTTGTGAAGGAAGTGTTATTTATATATTCTTGATTACCCTAAAAAATTTGGGCACTCTTTCCTATCCAAATAATTGCCTCGTGACAAAATTCAGCTCCATTTGCCTAGTAAATCTTCCTTGGCAAATTTCCAAAGTTTTCATTCAGCTAGAAGTTTTGTGAAGGAAGTACTAGCTATGCAGATCCTAATGAGATGAATTTTTGCCACATCTTATATATGCCCATATCATAGCTCTCCACAAAATTTTAGCCCCATATAACAATTCATGAGAGCTCACGATCCAATCTTTGTTTCTGGTAATATTTTCATTTTGTGAAGCAACTATACTTTAGATTGCTTTATAATTGCTAAAAATTTAACAGGGCATGACCATACCTATGTAACTTACCTACACTAAATTTGAGCTCATTTCATTTATCCAATTTCTCTCAATAATTTTCCCAAGTTTCTGTCTAGAGAAGAGCATTGGAAGGAAGTACCACTTTGGTATGTCCAAATGGTATCAATTTTCTACAGTGCTTTCCTATGCCCAAATAACCACCCTCCACCAAATTTCAGCTCAGTCCTTCACTATTTTGAGCCCAGCCTCAACATTCATATTTCTGTCCGGTGTGGTACTTTGCAGAGCAAGTGCCACCTAGGATCCTCCATTTGAGCTCAAAATTTGTGAATAAACTCTTCTTAGTAGATGATCATCCTCAGCCAAAACTCACGCCCATTGGTCATGTGCATTTCCCATACCGCTAATCAAACACTTGGTTGCTAATTCATGTTTGAGCATACTTTGGTCTCGTCGTGAGATTCTTCTGTTGCCACTTTCTTCCTATAACCTACTCGGGGAGTGATCAACCCACTAGACATGCCTAGGCCACCCAAAATGCAAGGCAACGCCACGGTCACGCGGTGACCACGCGACGGGCATGCGAGTTTATGCGCTCTGGAGTTGGGGCCCTCGGCCACCGTCCAAACCTCGATGTATCGCTGCCAAACCATGTATTTCTGATTAAATAGATACTTATGTACCTAGAAATGATTTTTGGAAAAAATAAAGAGCAAATTATAAGGCAGTTGCAGTTCAAATTTGACCCGCTTCCTCCTAAATTGACGGAAATTTGTCCTTTTCATGAGAGGTGGATCAAAACTTTTTACACCCAAAATTTTTGTCAATTGTGAATTAAATATGGCCTAATATTTTATAAAATTGACTCGGTACAATTTTGCAACAAATATATGGTAGGTCATTCACAAAAAAACTCATTTTGGGCACTCGAAAAATGGAAAATGAAATTTTCGTCAAAAAAAATGAAAACTTCCTTAGGGTCATTGTTTGCCATTCCAATATGCACCATTGTGCACAATATGAGATCATTTGAACAAACTATGCCATGAATATGGCCATAAAATAGATCATTTGGCTTGAAAGCCATTGATCTCCACACATGATAGCTCGCTTCTGAGAACACTTTTTAAAAATAATTATCGTATTACAAGTTTATTATTTTTCTTGGTAACTTGGCCACATATACTGACACAATGCAAAGGTTTTCCATTTTCTTGATTTTTTTTTTGAATTTTTCATGCTCATTTCAAAATGCGGTCAAAACGACGGGAATGACAGTTCCTAGCTAGTGGTTGAATCTTGGAAATATTTTGGTGTTTCTCTAATTAAACAGATACTTAAGTACCTAAAAATAAATGTTGTGAAAAATAAAGAGCAAACTATGAGGCAGCTGGAGTTCAAAT